CCTCATCAACAATAGTGTCTCCTCCGCTGCCCCCGCCCCCCGCGGGCGCCCATTGGTGCAGCGTCAGCCGCGCTCGAGCCGCTCCACCGCGCCCATTGGCTGCGAGCAGCTCGGGTCCCGGGCCCCCGGGGCCTTAGAGAGCCTGGGTTTGCGCGGAGACCGTCTGCTCTTTAAAGAGAAAGAGACCCGCCCCCGTGGGGGGGAGCCGAGGCAGCGGGCCGTGCGTATGTGTAGTGTGCGCGCGTGTGTGTGTGTACACGTGAGTGTACGCGCGCGCCTGGCCACGCGCGGCCTTCCCTCCCCGCTGGGGGGAGCCCTGGGCACCCAGACGGTGGAATTTTGCCAACAGGAATGTCCCGAACCGGAGCAGTCCCCAGGGGTAGTCTGAAGCCTCTCTCCCAGGACTCATGTCCTTACCCACACTATTAACTGTGTATTAACATGTACCAGCTGCACTTTTCTGGCTTTTTTTCCGTAATCTTTTTGTTCTGTCCTAATTCTATCGAACTGTGGGCAGGGCTCAAAAGGAGATGAAATTAAATTAGCCTTACTGGCATTTCATTCCTTTCCTTTCTAATTTTTTTTAAAAAACCCTACAAAGAGCCAACTCTCAGAAAGATGAAAATTGCTGGTTAGAATGGGATTTTAGGTGGTTATCTGTAGAAGTCAGTTATCAAATGCTACTACTGCCCTCCTGTATCTCAAGTAATCAGGTATTTATTTTTATCAGCTACTTCACAGTTCCTTGGTAGCTTGGAAAGATGTCTGGTACCTTAGGAGTTTGTAAACTGCTATGGTTTACAGAGGGCCTTATTTGATCCTCACAATCACTATTTCAGACAGAACTGGGCGATCCACCTATATTTTCAACTAATGGAGGAAACAAGTCTTTGTGGTATGAGCAAGGACTCAGGAAGGCAGACAGTGCCATTAGATCTAAAATTACCTAACGGGTCCTCATCAAGACAAAAAAAAAGGGGGGAAGGGGAGGATAGCTCCACACCCTGCCCACTCAACCTTTCTGGCTGTAAATCGCCTGTCCATGAACTCTTTTCCCTTTACTCCTTCCTTCAAGGTAAATTCTAGACAGATTGCTGTCTTGTTTTACGTGGGAATAGAGGACCCAGTATGACTTGCTCTGGACCTGAAATCCCAGTAGGTCCCCATGCACTATTGCAGACTTTGAAGACCTGGAGGGGACATTCAGATCCCAGGTTCATCACTTACTCTGTGATAGTGGGTCTGTCCCTGGCCAGTTTTCTTATCTGTAAAATGCAATTAGACAATACTTTTCTTTGACATAGTTGTTTTGAATATGCATCACCCATTAAATGTAGTGTAGTGTGTAGAAGGTACTTAACACTTTCAGAGTATCTGTGAGTCAGAGTCCTACGCCTCTCCTCATTCTCCATCCCACTTTCTCCTCCTATCTCCATTATTACAATGAGAGATGGACTCATCTTAAGTTTACCCATGCTCTGGGTATACCTGACAACACAATGAAAGCTTGGAGTGAGTCCGTTTTTCAGTAGATTGGAACATACAGGAAATAACCACCAAAATTCCTGAAGAGAGCTAAGTCTATCCTTAAAACAACGGGGGTGAGATAAGATATGAGGATGTTATGGAAGTTTTCTGGGGGTGTGTCTTGCACAAAATAGGAGATCAATACGTATTTACTGAACTAAACCAAAGGGAGTCCAGCAGCCCTAGTGGCCTAAGCTCCTTGATCAATTGCTTTTCATATCACCAAATCAGGGATCCCTTGGTTAGAGATAAGAGGCTTTTTGCTTTTCCGAGCTAAAGAACTTATTTCAGCAAAGAAGTTCATTAGATCAAAGACTTAAAATGTTCTTGGCTTGGTCATGAGATTTGGTGGAACCATTCACCTCTTGCTTCTAGTTTTATTTCCTACAGAAACCCAACTCCTACAGCTCCAGAAAATGCCTCTTTCATTTATTTAACAGGTTACCTCATTTATCAGTTTGGGACCTAACTTTAAATACATTAGAGCACTTCAGCTGAAGCAGTTATTAACCATGTCAGCTAAAGGATATTTGTGATGATTTGTAAATCAAAACTTTGATAGCATAAAATCTGAAAGGGAAATGGAGGAGAAGGGATTGAGTCATGGCCATCCCCCCAGGAGGTGATTTCTCACTTTTTGTCTCTGTCTCTCTCTATCTTTCTAGCTAGTGCACACACCCTATAGCAGAAACCTCTCCAAAAAAATTAAATTAAGTTAAAATGATCAAAGAATGCTAAAAAAAATATTTGGATGCCTTAGAACTCTTCAGTGTGTTTTTTAAGATTTAATGGCAATGAATAAAAGCGTCATTTATCCATGTCCTTGACTTCATTATCTGTTGTTGAAGATTCCAAGCAAACAATGTGCATCAAAGTGATGTATTGGTCTTTAGTTTGCTAGTTTTATCTATGAAGAGAGTCCTTGTATTTCAAGGATCAACAAAATAAACATGTCTCCCTGCAGTTTAACTCTGCTCTTCTTAGGATATAATTCTAATTTTCCCATTTTCTCTTCAAGGTTGAAATGTGACTGTATGAAGCTGTAAACAAGAAGCAACGTGTTGGAATTGGTTTGTATTGAAACATCTGTAGACAAAATTATTGATAGACTCATTTACTCTCTGCTTGCTTAACTCTTTACTATGATCTGGTTATGGTAAAGGAAGATGGGATTTTGAAAAAAAAAGTCTATTTCTTGCTGTTTATTTTTTTCTTCCTACAGTTTTAATAGAACCAATCATATCTTCTTGTAAATGCTAAAATATCATTGAATAAAATCTTATAGAACCACTAAAATGATCACTGTAAGTCATAAGTTCCTTTGACTTTACAATGGGAACATATCCAAATTATACATCCAGGGACCAGCAGTTGGCGTAATGGCTATGTCGCTGGACTCCCACGTAGTTGACCACGGTTCAAGTCCCAGACCCAATGGCTTAAACTCGCGCCGGGTGCATGTGCGTATGTGCCCAAGATCCCGAGAGGAAAATGGAGGAAAAGGGATTGCGACATGGCCATCCCCCCTGGGGAGTGATTTCTCGCTTTCTTTTTCTCTGTCTCTCTGGCAAGTACACGTGCCATATAGCAAAAACCTCTCAAAAAATAAAAAAGTATACATCCATTGAAGTTACAGTAATGCAAAAATATTTACACATTATGAAATACTAGATGGTAAAATACTGACATGAGAATAGAATAGTCATTTTTTAATTATTTAATTTTATTTGTTATTATTTTTTTCATTTGCTGGAGAGGACTGGTGCTCACCAGTGACAGAGAGAAAGGGAAAATGAGAAAGCAAGCTGCCAGTTCTGGGACTCAAACTGTGGTTGCCATGTGGGAATTTTAACCACCACACCACCTACTGGCCCCAGAAGAGTCATTCTTAAGGTGGGATTTTAGAAGATGCTTTTTGTCCTGAGAAATGATATATGACTTCCTCATGAAAGGAGGGAAGTATCAGAACTTAAATTGTCTACTTAAAAATCTGACTACTACTTCGCTGAGACTTTCATCTCAGACCATTTCATTAAGACCTTCCATAGTACCCACACTCCTGGTATTCCTCGTGCCTCTCTGACTATTCCCTTGCTGGCTCCTTCTCAATCTCACCTTTCAAGATTCAAAGTACTGCAGGACTTCATCCAAGCCTCCCACTCCCTAGACTGATAGCTGCACTTGTGCCCAGAATTCCACTGACTACACACTGTCATGATTTAACCGTGTGCTTGGTGTCACGTCCTGTTTTAAGTACCTCAAACCTTGTCCACAACTGAATTTATCTTCTCCTCTTAACTCACCCAGCACTAACAACTGGCTCCTCTTACAGTTTTTCTATATCTCAGTAAATGGCACTATCATCTACTCAGTGGTCTAAATCAAAACCCTGTAAGTCATCTTGGCTCTCCTCCCTTACTCTAAGGCCAGTGAATCACCATATCTTAACTAGTCTAGTTCCTAAATGTCTTGTGAATCAACTGCTATCCTCCAGACCTACCGTCTACTCTAGGAAAGCCTCTATCTTCTCTGGCCTACACAGTTACACTTACCTAGCCAGTCTCCCCAAATCATCTCTGCCCTATACACCTTCTCTAAGCACCCCACTTCAAGCTTCCCATTCTCTCCCTATAATCCATTCCCCACACATCTGCAACGGTCTTTTAAAAATACAAACTCTCCACTGCTTAACACTTTCCGATTTTTTCTTCGCATGAAGCCTCCAATCCTGAGGCTCACAAGACCTTCCAGGGCCCACTTCTTCCTCCTCTACCTCTCTAGATACTAACTGTACTGTACTTCTTATATTTTCTCCAACTATTACACTTAGCTATTTTCTCTGCTTTGAACACTCTTCACTGTCACTTGGCCAACTCCTAATCAGTTTTCAGATCAGGGAGACCTGGGTTATCTTGCTCCCCACTTAAGTGGGCCTCCCTGGGTTTACGGTAATATCATACTTCCCCGTCATCGTCGTCATAACACAATTATTTGTTCCGTATCTGTATTTCCTTCTTAATGTTCCAAACAGAGCTTGTTTGTTCACCCAACAAATATTTATTGATGGTGGTCTATGGGCAGAGCACTGTGATGACTCTATAGTAATGAGCATGCCCACAAGCTCCTTGTCCTCACAGTCTTATCTGCTGGACACAATGAACAAGTAAACCAAACATGCATGTGTGCATACACACATAGCCACATATGTGAAAAAATTACCAGTTGCAAGTTTGGGGAGAGAAAACCATAAAGTACCACGAAAAAGGACAACAATGAAGCTTTAGCAGAGCTATACAGGAAGTTCCTTCTGAAGAGGTGACATGTCAGATGAGACTAAAAGATAAGGATGAGCCCTTATGGAAATAACATTCCAAACGACAATAGCTGTATAGAGCCTAAGAATGGAGAACACTCCCTGTGTTTAATGGAAGGCCAGTGTCAGCAAAAGTGCAAGTAGTTTGGCAATAAGATGAGAGGCAGGGTCACACCGCAGCTCAGTAGCTGGATTCCACATGGCCAACTGTGGCTCAAATCCAGGCCCCAACACTGAAAAGCACACCAGGGACGTGTGCATGCCTGCCTAAAATCCTTACTGGAAGGAGGATTGAAGGAAAAAAGGACCACAACGTGACCACTCCCCACCAGGAATGCTTTCTTCCTCTCCCCTAAGTGCACATGCCCTCTGATAATTAAAACAGAAGACTGGAGAGGCAGAGGCTAGATGATGTAGAGATTGTTAGTCTCTGGTAAGAGTTTCAGTTTTAATTCTAGTTACAAGGATAAAGCTGTGTCTACTCGTTTCCTATATCAGCACAGCATCTCATAGTGACACCAAAGTCGTTAGTCACAAGTGAAATAATCCAGGCACAGAAAGAGAAATATTCTCCCTCATATGTGGAAAATGAAAAAAAAAAAAAAACTGTCCTCATGGAAGCAGAGAGAAGAATGACTACTAGAGGCTGGGAAGGATCAGGGTGGAGGGACAGATGAATGTTGATTGACAAAAACAAAATTACAGATAGACGGGAGGAATAATGTCTAGTGTTTAATGAATGCAGTTCACAACGGACGGTGTATGTCAAATCACCTAGGAGGGAAGTCATGACGGATGATGGAGATGGTGGGTTTGCTAGCTGCCCTGACTGGGCCATCGCATGTCGTGCTTGTGTACTGAAGAATCACGTGTACCCCCACAAATATGTACAGTTATTATACATTAATTTTAAAAGTCTTTAAAAAGGATCATTTATAAAATTTTCAAAAATATTTGTATCTGATATTAGAGAAAGGTCACTCATAAATGAATGGGGGCTAGGTGGTTTGACCTTTCTGGAAAGTAACTTTGACCACTTACAAGAATCAAAAATATTTATACCACCTGACCCAGAAATCCTGTCTGGAAAATACAAATATAATGCAAAATAAAATTTAAAAGTTAGATGATTAAAAAAATATATTATTTCTCCAAGTTCTATTTTTTTTGGAGAGGTGTTTGCTATAGGGCATGTGTGCTTGCCAGAGAGACAGAGACAGGGATACAGAAAGCAAGAAATCACCCCCAGGGTGGATGCCATGCCTCAATTTCTTCTCCCTTCTCCTCTTGGGATCTTGGGCACACACGTGCACACATCTGGCGTGAGTTTAAGCCACCGGGTCTGAGACTCAAATTGTGGTCAACTACATGGGAGTCCAGCAACATAGCCATTACGCCAACTGCTGGTCCCATCCAAGTTCTATTCATTACAACACAGCAACAGCCTCCAATCCCTCTTGTCCCTAAATATTACCCCCAAAAATCTAGACCTGGTTCTTCTTTTTTTACCTTAATTTCTCACTTCATGGGGTCCATTCTTGTCCTTGAATAACTCTTTGCCTTTGCTAAACCAATGTTTATCAATCCATTCTTTCTAACATAATCATTTCTGCGTCTCTACCAGTTTATTCTGATCTGCACAATGGAAGCCCCAAACTCAGAGGTAGAATCTTCCCAGGAAAGTGGAAAGGAAAGAACAGTTGTGCTTTCAGTTCTGTTTATTTGTTTTGTTTGCATTTATCACTGCCATTGCTGTTGCTTTCATAGTAGGAAACCACTCTGGCTCCTAGACGGAAAATGGCTTGAAGAGGAACAAGGAAAAGCAGGGAAGACAATGAGGAGCCTGTTGCAAAGAGCAGGGCAAGAGTAAAAAGTAGGATTCAAGCTTGGTAGAACTGACTTGTCTCACGGGTGATCACAGGTGAGGGAAGTCCTCCAGGTTTCTGGCTTGAACACCTTGAAAATTTGCTTATGTTCAGACATACTAGGTTTGAGTTTCTTGTGAGTTACTTTAAAAGAGTCATCAAAAAGGCATAAAACTCCATTTCAGAGAGGTCAGGCCAAAAGATATCAGTTTGTGAGGTTTCAGCATCCAGGTGTTATTTGCAACCATGTGAACGAATGAGTCCACCCAGGTGCCTTGGCGCAGGGCCCAGCACACAGTAGGTGCTCCAAAAACAATTGTTTTTAAATGCCCGACTGTCTCATCCACGCTGTATCTTCATGCTGAACACAGAACCACAGATGTCAGGTACTTAGTAATTCCTGTGAATGGAATGAATGGTTTAACAATTACACCATGCACAGCAGCAAAAGAACACAGGGATTTCAAACCTGTGACTTTCAGATTCCGAAACCAATATGCTTTGACCACAGCCATAGTAGTCTAATTCAGAAGATGGTTAATAAGAACTTGATAAGAAAAGGCCAGCCAAGCTCTGTGGAGCAACGGTTAAACACTGTGTAGAGGAGGCCGGATCCTACTTGACCATCCTGGTTTCAATCCCAGCCCAGCAGCCACCAACTGTGGGCCCAAGATCCTGACCAGGTGGAGCAATGGAGGAAAAGGATCGTGGCATGACCATTCTCTCTCCCATACACACGTGTCCTCTGGCATTTAAAAAAATAAGATGGGAGGGACCAGCAGTTAGCGTAATGGCTATGTTGCTGGACTCCCACGTAGTCGACCACAGTTCGCGACCCGGAACTGGTGGCTTAAACTCATGCCGGGCACATGTGCGTGCATGCCCAAGATCCCGAGGGGAGAATGGAGGAGAAGGGATTGCGGTGTGGCCATCCCCCCTGGGGGGTGCTTTCTCGCTTTCTGTTTCTCTGTCCCTCTCTGTCTGTCTGGCGAACGCACGCGCCCTATAGCAAAAACCTCTCCAAAAAAAGAAAAAAAAAAAAAAAAAGATGGGAAAGAAAGAAAAGCAAGTATATGGGATCTTTTTCATATAAAGGAGGAAACTAAAGAAAGTTCATGTCTTGCCTAAAACTAGAACTCAGGTCTTTGACTCATAGTCCATCATCCTTTTCTTCCAGTAGAGATAACTGAACAAACCAGCAGCTGTTCTACACATTAAATAGCTATCAGTTAAAATATGCTGTGAATGGGACCAGCAGATGCTGTAATGGTTACGTCACTGAACTTCCACATAGCAGACCATGGTTTGAGTCCCAGACCCAGTGGCTTAAACCTCACGCCAGGCACATGTGCATGTGTGCCAAAAATAGGAGAATGGGGCAGAAAGGATTGTGGCATGGCCATCCCCCTGGGGGGTGATTTCTTGCTTTCTGTCTCTCTGTTCTGTCTCTCTGTCTCTCTCTGCCTGTCTGCGCACCGCACACGCCCTATAGCAAAAATCTCTCTCTAAAAAAAAAAAACAAAAACATTGTGGAGAGAAAAAAAAAAAAAAGAACCAAAGAAAATTAGAATTAGATTTGGAATTGGTGAGTATTACCACTTAAAACAATCTTCTACTATTCTGCCATGCAAGCTTTCCCATCAAGATTTAAATCAAACATGATATGGCCTTTTCCAATTGTCAAAAGCACAATACAAGATATTGGGCCAGCTAGATGGTGTGGTAGTTAAGGTGGCTGGATCCCATACAGCCAACTGTGCGATTTGAGTCCCAGACATTGCAGTTTGAAAAACACACCAGGCATGTGTGCATGCATGCCCAAAATCTCAAGAGGAGAATGGATGAGACAGGGTTGCAGCATGGCCATCCCTCCAGGGGATGCTTTCTCTCTATCTCTCATTCCATTTCTCTCCAGCAAATACATGTGCCCTACAGCAAATTCAAAATGAAACCAAACAAAAAAACCTACTTCACAAAAATAGAAACAAGGTATTGGCTCCCTCTCTCTTTGTCAGAGGGAGTTTTTATTTTATTCCCAGCAGTTTTCATATCTTTTCAGAAACTCTTCAATCTACATATTAAAATAAAAGTTAAGAAAAGCATGGCATAGAACAGTGTACAGTACCATTAATGCTATGCTTTTCTTTTGAAGGACTTTGGCTGTAAATGAAGTTGTGTGTTGGGAAATTCTCCAAGAAACTGGCTTCTGAAAAGAACTCAGAGGGGTGAGGATAGAAAAGTACTCTTTTTTATGCGCACTCTTTGTACTACTATTTGAACTTTTTAAAAAATAATTACTTTGTTTATTTAATTTTTGTTATTTTTTAATTCGACCACAGAAAGAGAGAAAGGGAAAGTGAGAAAACAAGCCACCAGGTCTCAAACGTGAACTGCAGGTGAACATGTGGGAGTCCAGGGCCTTTACCACCACACTGCCAGCTGGCCTCTTACTATTTGAACTTTTAAAAACACTATTCAAGGGGGCTGGCAGGTAGCATGGTGGATAAAGGTGCTAGATTCCCACATGGGCAACCGCGGTTCTAGTCCTGGATCTGGCGGCTTGCCTTCTTGCTTTCTCTCTCTCTCTCTCTGGTGAAATTAAAAAATAATAATAACAAATGGGATTACATAAATAATTCTTAAAAAAAAAAAAAAAAAAAAAGCACTATTCAGTGGCCAACCAGTGGCATGGCGATTAAGGTGCTGAATTTTCACACTGTCAGCGACAGTTTGCGTCCCAGACCTGACGGCTTGAAAATTGCACTGGGCGCATATGTGCGCATGCTCAACATCCCAAGATGAGAATGAAGGAGAAGGGATTGCAGTGTGGCCATCCCCACAGGGGGTTATTTCTCACCTTCCCTCTCAGGGAAGGCTTGTGGCCCCTTGGAAAAAAAAAAAAAAAAAAAAAAAGCTATGTTCATGAATTAGTTTTTTGTTTTTAAGAGAGATTTTTGCTATAGGGCAAGTGCACTTGCTGAGAGACAGAAAGTGAGAAATCACCCTCCCGGGGGGTGGGATGGCCATGCCACAATCCCTTCTCCTCCAGTCTCCTGTCGGGATTTTGGGCATGAACGCACGTTCACCCGGTATGAGTGTTTTTTTTTTTTTTCTTTTTTCGAAGTGGATTTTGCTATAGGGCATGTGCGCTCACCAGAAAGTCAGAGAGAGACAGAGAGACAGAAAGCGAGAAATCAGCCCCAAGCGGGGATGGCCATGCCACAATCCCTTCTCCTCCATTCTCCTCTCGGGATCTTGGGCATGCACACACACATGCCCAGCGTGAGTTTAAGGCACCTGGTCCGGGACTCAAACCGTGGTCACCTATATGGGAGTTCAGCGACATAGCCATAATGCTAACTCCTGGTTCCCACCTGGTATGAGTTTTTTTTAGGACACTGGGTCTGGGACTCAAACCACAGTTGACAGTGTGGGAATCCAGCAGTATAATCATTATGCCATCTGCTGGTCCCTCATGATTAGTTTTAACAACAACAACAAATTTAATGGGGACAGCAGGTGGTGTGGTGGTTGGGGTGCTGACTCCCACGTGGCTGATTGTTCAAGTCCTGGACCTGGCAGCATGCTTTCTCACTTTCTCTCTCTCTCTCTCTCTCTCTCTCTCTCTCTGATAAGCACACATGCCCTATAGCAAATGAAAAAATAGTGATAATAAATAAAATTGAGTTAATAAATTTTTTTTAATGTAATGTACAAATTTATCTCAAGGCCAGTGGATAGCATGGTCATTAGGGAGCTAGACTCCCACAGGGCCAGCTGCTGTTAGAATCTCGACCTGGCAGCTTGTTTTCTCAACCTCCCCCTCTCTCTTTGTTTCTCTGGTGAATGCATGTGCCCTAGGGCAAATTAAAAATAATAATGAATAAAATTAAATAATCCCTTAAAAATTAATCTCAGAAAACAAGGATATTTCGGGGAACATTAACATTTAAAATTCTGATTTATAAATTATAACTGCAGTCTTATATGAGCTTCCGTCTCCAAAATATTTTTTTTGAGAGATTTTTGCTATAGGGCACATGCACTCGCCAGAAAGACAGAGAGAGACAGAGAGACAGAAAACAAGAAATCAGCCCCCAAGGGGGATGCCCATGTTGCAATCCCTTCTCCTCCATTCTCCTCTTGGGATCTTGGACATGCATGCACACGCACCGGGTCCGAAACTTGAACCGCAGTTGACTGACTATATGGGAGTCCAGCGACATAGCCATTACGCTAACTGCTGGTCCCAGTCTCCAAAATATTTTTGTATTTTGTTTAGGTTGAATAGTATTGATTCCTAATTAACAGATAAATAATTGCAAATGGTAATGGTGTTCTTTTAATTTCTCTGCAGCTAAGCAGATTCAGAAACTTGAAGGGAGAGTAATGGAAAATGTTTATTGGAAAAAATAATCATCAAGTGGTGAACAGATGGAGAGAAAGATGATGCAAGAATGACAGAATGTTGATCATTGTTGAAGCTGGGTGAGAAGTGTAGAGTCGTTCATTATTCATTATTCTGTTCTTTGTGTTTGTTTCGAAGTGTTTACAATAAGTGTTTTAAGAATTGGCTCACAAAAATACTGGACAACTGCTCACATGCTTTATTATAAAAACGTCATAAAAACCCTGAAAAGCTTTAAGTTTAAGAACCTAGCTGGGCGAGTTGGTGAATGCCTGTAGCTCCAGCTATTCAGGAGGCTGAGACAGGAGGATTACAAGTTTAAGACCAGTCTGGACAATATAGCAAGCCCTTGTCAGAAAGACAAATGAAATGGAGGGAAAGAAGAAAGGAGAGCGAGAGAGAAAGAAAAGGGACGGAGGGAAAAGAATAGAGAGAGAAAGAACAAGGAAGGAGGAAGGGAAGGAAGGAAGAAGGCAGGAAGGCTGGCATCTGTAAAACCCTTCTTGACATATTACTCGTTTATTTAATACTACACATGAAAACGCACAGCAACATGAACTCTGTTATATGTTTGTCATTTTTAAAAAATAAAATAGAGAGTACATACATGAGACAAAGAGACAGAAAACACCCTCCACAGGTCTTGTCACACTGTAATCCCATGTCCCCGGTCCTCCAACTCATCAAGATTGTGGGCGCTCACGCACATGCCCAGTGTTTTCAGGCCAACCCCGAGTTCTAAACCGAATAGCTTCCAGCCTTGCAGGACACTTGCATTACTGCTGCACCACAGTGGCCAGGCCTGACATAGGATTAGTTGTACTGACTACATGTTAACTGTAGTCACATAGTTATCTTTCTCTAAGCAGACATGTGGAGACCTAGATTTTAAAAGACCCATGTAAGGCTCCCTTTCTAAGTAATGGCATGTTTACGATAAATTTAAATAGATGCTCAGAAATGACATGAAAAATTTAATGCTAATTTCTAGACATAAATAAATAAGGTCCAGGGCTAGCAGGTGGTGTGGTGGTTAAAAGGCACAGGACTCCCACATGGCCAACCTTGGTTCGAGTCCCAAACCTGGCAGCTTGCTTTCTCACTCTCTCTCTGTTTTTGTCCCATTTCATGAAAATAAATAAATAAATAAAGTTAAATAAAATAACTATTTTTTTAAATAATGAAGACAATAGATATTAACTAGTAATGGTTCCAATAAATCAAAAATTTATATATTAAAATAATGGGATTTTATTATAGGCATTTAAATGTTTAAAATATATTTTGGTGGAAAATGAAATTCAAACCAAACATTTATCCCACCCTGGACCAGTCTGTACCATAGTGTTTAAGGTACCTGGATCCTACTGACCAACCACAATTCTCTCACTTTCTCTCTCTCTCTCTGGTCTGATTAAAATAAATAAATAAATGAAGTTAGAGAAAATCACTCTTAAAATAGAAAAAGAAAAGAAGAATCTACAGTTCTCTGATCTTTCATTTTTCTGTGTATAAAGCAGGTTTTTTTCTTTTACTCCAAGAAATAAGATGGCATTCTGAATATATTATAACTTTTGAAACTTTTCTTCCTTAAACTTATATCCTGGACATCTTGTCAAGAAGTGTACATCTAGATTCTATCTCTATCTTACTCCTTTTAAAGGAATTAATAGAAGATTTAGTCTCCTACTAATGGACATTTCAGTTATTTTCACTTTTTGATATTACTCAATGGTATAATGATATTGTTACACATATCTTAGCATCCTTTTTTTTCTTTTTTAATTTTTAAAAATTTTTTTGAGAGGTTTTTTTACTATAGGGCGCATGCACTCCCCAGACAGACAGAGAGAGACAGAGAGACAGAAAGCGAGAAATCACCCCCC